TATATATATATATACTGTGTATATATATATATATATATATATATATATAGTCCTCTAACTGTTCCAGTTGTATACAAAACTTTCTAAACTGCAAATGGAAAAAATGGATAAAAAGGAGATCAAAGGAATACACCTATTAATCCTGCCATAAACGAGTCTAAACAGCATTAATCACTGTTTAGATTGTAATTACAGACACATATATAGATAACATGATAGAATGATAGACAGGATGATAGACAGAACAATAGAATGAAAACTTAATGATAGCACGAAGGACAGAACTATAGATAGACAGAACGAAGAGAAAGATAAGACAGGATGACAGATAGAATGATAGAACTATACATACAGAACGCTAAATAGACAGAATGATAGAAAAAAAAACGATAGATATAATGATATGCAAAACTGTACAATGATAGACGGATCGAACAATAGGTAGAACGATACAACAAAACGAAAGATAGAATGATAGATAGAACGTTAAACAGACAGAACAACAAAGAATGATAGAATGAAACAATGATAGAGCGATAGAATGAAAGACAGAATGATAGATATAATGATATACAGAAAGCAATGATAGACAGAACGATAGCTATATCGAACAATAGGTAGAACGATACGATAGACAGAACGATTGATAGAGCTATAGAATGTTAAAAAGACAGAACGACAGAAAGAATGATACAATAATAGACAGAACGGCACATAGACATAATGATATAATGACAGAATGATAGATAGAATGATAGAGCTATAGAATGTTGAAAAGACAGAACGACAGAAATGATACAAGAACGGCACATAGACAATGACAGAATGATAGAACAATAGTGCTATAGATAGAAAGAACGACATATATACAGATAGAATATATATAGATATAACGATAAATACTGTAGAACAATAGATGGATAGAATTATAGATAGATGTAACCATTAGTTGCATACCATTTATGGATAGAATTTTAATTCCAACAGACCTGTTGGATGAATCTTTATGACTGTCACACAATAATAATAAAAAAAAAATCAGTTGTTTATTCTCTTGCAGTGTCAGCATTGTATGAGTCAGATCCGCCCCGAAGCATGAATGTACTGTAAAATGTGTAATTTAATGATAAATTTGAATAAAAGGAGTTAACCCCCCCCCAAAACAAGAAATCCCTATTAAAAACAACAACTCGGTATTATATTAAAAGATTGTTTTATTCACAATTGAAGTGTAACAAATATAGTTTATCAAAAGCCTTTGCTGCTCTTTAATATAATTTATTACATAAGATCATAAGATTTATATAAATGATGGCTGGCAGTTTGCCAGAATGAGATATGTACAATTAAAAAACAAATTAAAGAAAAAAATAATAAAACCAAACACTTTCCCACAAAATTAATTGCATATATATTAAAGAAAAAAACAGAAACAAATCGGACTATGTGCAATGGAATGATTATCAGCAATATTGTACAGTTACATTTCTGAGGTTGTCTCATGAAGAAATAAAGGACAAGAATCACAAACAAAAAGGCATTTTCTATGCAAGATCAACACAATATTTAAACAACAAATTCTTAATCTGAAAAGCACATCTCCTATTCTGAGTATCGCAACCAGATGCGAGGAAACGTCTGTTCCCGAATGTCATCTAAGAGTCGCTACGGATCCTCAGTCACAGCTTGAGGAATCACTTTCACTTTCACTAAAGAGACAGCACAAATTGCTAGTCCGCGCTATGCGGCGGCAGTGCTAAACATCGTTTCGATTTGCAGTACCATGAATACAGTGAGCGCGATGTCTTATCTACAGTGTCACAGTGTTTTATGACGGGCCTCCCTCGAGATGATGTTACTTTCATATGTTGCGGTTCCTAACTCTGACAGTATGCCGTTCACTAGCACACATACAGCGGAGAAATACCATGTCAAGTGTTGCAGTCACTGGCCTCAAGAGAGGAATCTCTGCGAGGTATTTTTTTCACGTAGATCCACTAGTATAATACATTGGTTAACGCACCACACCATGCTAGTTAAGTAGGGTGTTTGTAAAATTTTTGCAATCCACAGCGAAACGTTGTGTTCGCTCTCAAAACTTTAGCGTTCTCTCACAAAAAGTTTGGCATTCCCTTGCGAAACTTGAGCGTTCCACAGAGAAACTTTTGCGCTTGTTCGCAAAACTTGCCGTTTGCTCGTGAAACTTTTGTGTTCCACAGAGAAACTTTTGCTTTCGTTCGCCAAAATTTTGTTTGCGCTCACAAAACCTGCGTTCCATAGAGAATTTTTTGCTCATAAAAAACTTGTTTGCTTGCTCACAAATCTTTTGCATTTGCTTGCAAAATGTTTGGGATGGAAATAAAGAAGTGGGAGGAAAAATTACATTTCAGTGTGTTTGCGTGCGAACATAAAGCTTCTCGGGAAAACACAATAGTTTTTAATGCATTGGTTTGTAAATTTTTCCTCTCATCTCATATTTTTTCCTATCATCATGTCCTCTTAGAGTCTCTGTAGTTTCCTGGCCTCCACACTGAAAAAAGACAAAAAATCCCTACATCTTGAGTAATAAATTAACACAAAGTACTCTATTTTACATGTCCTTCCTCCATTGATTAAGTAAACAATCAAAACACATTTTGTACACATTTTAAGAAACAAAGTAAGTTCACAAATGTAGAGGAATGAATGATAAATGACTGATTCTTACATCCATTAAGAGGGTAGGAGGGCTGTAGGCCAGTAGGAAGAAACCTTCGGTCAAAGCGAAAATAAATACAGCGATATTAAAACTTGACTAAAATGATCAGTAAGACTAAAAGGCACTAGTTGAATTGGTTTCATTATCTTGCTGTCGAATAAAGCCTCAAAACACCGAACCAAACCTCATCCCGAAAGAAACAGAGAGCAAGAGACGGCAAAGTTCAGTGGATATCTCTTAGCTTCGCTCCTGTAAACGCACATGATGCAAAAAACACAAACAGACGTTGATGCAATTTGATGTAATTACCTATGGCTTTATAACGTGTGTGAGAGGGCAAGTACGATGGAAAATGATCTGGTTCGGTCTCCTCACAGAGGAAATATGTTCCTTCTGGGTCTCTGAGGCTCAGAGACGTGTCCACAGAATCAGGGACAGAGATAGGGGTGACAGGGCAGCATGCAGAATCCCGAGAAGAGACAGCTGTGGAGAAACATGTGAAGCTCCAGCAGAAGTCCTGGAGGATAAGAACTCTCCAGCCACAGGGGGGTTGCGTCCATAGCTCTTGTCCACTGTTAAAGCAGGTTCAGGAAGTTACGTCTCAGTGGCGCTTTGGGGTTGGATGAAGATTACTTGAGTTGGTTTGCTATTTCTGGGTTCTGTTTCTTAATGACAGGAAGAGGATGGGCCTCCGTGTTGAACACCCAGTGTTCGAAGGGCAAATGGTCGTCGTCGGAGAACAAAAGATACAGATACCTGAAAAACAAAGAAAGAAAATCTCTCAAGATGTTTCAAGGGCATTTTATAATATAGTTAATCACAGTGAGATTGCCTGTAAGGGTTTTGTGGTATTTGGAAAACATGATTATATACATTAATCAGAAGCATAAACATCAAGGTTACGAGAGGCACATATTTATCACTAGGCTCGAAGTACAGCTAAACTCCATAAATTAAATAGATTTGGAATTTTTCACAATATGAGTGGTCTTTTCATAAAATGAGCTCTTGTATGGGTTTTTAGTAGGGATGTAACGATTTACCGCGAGCCGGTTGAAAATCGATTCAAATACGTGACGATTCAAATTGTTATTTACATTTACATTATATTAAAATTTTATTTAGCAGATGCTTTTATCCAAAGCGACTTACAAATGAGGACAATAGAAGCAATCAAAACCAACAAAAGAGCAATAATATACAAGTGCTAAATATTAGTAAATTATTATAGTGTTATATTTCAATTTCACAAAGAAACGCGCAGCATTGTGTCCAAGCAATAATAAAAGAACACATTTAATTTATAATTTGTCTTAAATCTAAAAAAATAAAAAAAATAAAAAAATAAAAAAATTGTAAATCGAATCGAATCGTGAAATCAAAATCTTGAATCGAATCGTGAGTTGAGTGAATCGTTACATTGCTAGTTTTTAGTATAGCAATATCACATGAGCAAGAGTGCTGTTTATCCCAAATATCTGCACGATTCCAAATGCAATACTGATTTTATACAAAAGATGAATAAAGTTAACTGTGTTCAACTTTAGACGCAATTTATACACACATACGTATACGCACATATGTACACGTACACACACACACACACACACACACACAATCTTTCAAGTACATTAGTTCAGGTACAAAGTCTAGTCTTTCCACCTGTTTTACCATTAAAGTCTGACAGCACTCAACAAGTCATATCATTTGAGGTATCATTTACGTCTAGCACAAATGGCGTGAGTCTCATTACATGACAAAGTTTAACACTTAGTATGCACAACAGTAAAAACACAAACACCACTAATTCTCTCAATTAATGGCAAACTGCATAAATAAATTCACCTCTTCAAATCGGAATGTTTACTTTGTTAATAAAACATGAACATCTCCCAAGTGCTAAAGTAAAACTGTCTCTGCCAAGCAAAACACCGCCAAGACAACAACAACATGAATAAGGGATGAAGATTACAAATTACAAAAGGTCTAAACATTTCACTTCCTTTAGCTGAGAGTAGCAACTTGTGGCCGACAGCCATAGCTAAAGGACATTGTCTTATGTGCGAAAGCCATAATTCAAAACCTGAAGCCAAGGAGGGAGAAAAAATCCCACAGGTTAGAAGGCACATCTTTATTTGGAAGGCTGGATGACAATCGTTTAAAATTACAGTCTATAAACTTTAGCTGGAGACGGCGATGCTGACGCCTGTTTCCTGATGAAGTTGTGACCTTGATAATACAGTTTCTAACCCTCCCTCCCTCTCGGTTTCCTCTCTGAACAGACATGCATTGGCTGGAGATTTGCTGATGAAAGGCTCTCTTCTCCGCTGGCCCTCTGAAAATATAAGCTGCTGACCTCAGGCCTCCAGAGTTAAAGCTAAATCATGCGTGTCCACTGGATGAACCACTCCTGGCGGCTTAAACCGCACCTGGCCTTCTGCAGAGAGTATGATCTTCAGACCTTCAGTTTTAATGCTCTGCCACTGGGTAGAAAGAAACTGGAAGGGGGACAGCAATTATAAAAGAGACGAGGCAGCTTAATTTAACGACAGAGGTCACAAGAGGTCATACTGCATCTGCAAGTGAAATGAAATGAAATCACACTGATAACCACTTTTATATTTAATTTTTGGGCCATTTTTAATGATGGAGATAGTTGAGTGGAGTTGTTTCCTGCTTTTACTATATGCTGTAAAGTGAAGCCTCAGAATACTGAGTCTAACCTCACCCCAAAAGAAACAAATAAAACAAAAAAGGACAAAGTGGTTGACTGAAATGGATTTTGATTTTTGATGAACGATACGGATATCTTAGAGAGCCAGGTGGCCGATATAAAGTCACACTATTTAATTTAAAAATAGTAAAAACACATGCATAACGATTGCTGAAAAAAATAAAAAAACACATCTTAAGACCTACTTTTACTCACAGGCATATGATATGTGGTTTTAAACATGCATGTATACATTTTTTATAATTATGTTCTCTTTAATATCTATGTTTCATTACATTTATTGCTTGTGTATTTAAAGGGGTCATATGATGCGATTTCAAGTTCTCCTTTCTCTTTGGAGTGTTACAAGCTGTTCGTGCATAGATAAGATCCCTAAAGTTGCAAAGACTAAAGTCTCAAACCCAAAGAGATATTCTTTATAAAAGTTAAGACTCGTCAACGCCCTCCAAAAACGCCTCGTTTAAACACGCCCCCACATGTCTACGTCACTGTGTGGGAAGTTTTGCATAACACTGCTCAAATGTTCATGCAAAGAAAGGAGGAGTAACTTTGATTCTTGCTGTAGTATTGTTGTTGCCACCGCCTCCATGTCGTGGAGACGCTGTGTGTTCCTTTGTGAAAGTGAAACTACTTTGTTTGGCCTTTCAAAAGAGGGCACAACTAGAAATCAGTAGTTAAGTTGTATTTACAACACTGTTCCAGAACAGTTCAAACCAAATATTCGTGTGTGTGTGCAACTCATTTAACGGATGACTGTTTCCTGAACCTACAATGCCGGCTGTTCTGACTCACAACCTGTAAGTATGTTTTCATATTTAAAGAATTTGCCACTGATGATTCAAACGCGTGTTTTGAGCAGTGTAGAGTAGCGCTTGTTGTTTGTCATTTCTCCGATCACAAATGCAGACAAATGGTTTTATGTTTACGCGGCGCGATGCAAAAAAGAGACAATATAAGTCACTATAATCCATAATTATGTCCCCACTGGATGCAACAAATGGCTCGTTTGTAATGGGTTTTATTGTTTTTGTCTCGTCGCTCCGGGACACAGCATCACAGTATGGTAGGGGCGTAACATTTCCGTCACACGCTTGAGGTATTCGGACAATCACAACACACAGGATAGCTGGCCAATCAGAGCACACCTCGCTTTTCAGAACGATGAGCTTTGTAAAAATCGATGCGTTTCAGAAAGGCGGGGTATAGAGGAGCAACAATAATGTACAGTATGTGGAAAATAATGTGTTTTTTGAACCTTAAACCACATAAACACATTGCATTACACCAAATACACAAAATAATGTTCTTTTTAGCAAAGTCACATGACCCCTTTAATGTGTTTAAATTTTTGTACAGCACTTACAAAATGCTTGGTATGCTTTTAGAGTTTTTTTTACATGCTCTATAAATGATTGATTTAAATTAAATTATTGTACATAATATTTACTAAATTATTTAATTTGAAAAGGCTTATGAAAAAAAAAAAATTCAACTTGAAAAAATAAATCTGTAAAATAAAGAGATTTATTTAGATGGCAATTTCTTGATTCTGTAATTCTATTAAAGTCCATTTTTGCCCACTTCTAATTCACATGGACTGACCGTTAAAAAGAGCAGAGAATTTAAATGTCTATTAGATATTCAAAGACTTGTTGAAATGAAACGTATATTAGCTGAATGCTGACTGTGGATGAGAAAGTATAGCATTTGCCTTTGTGTTACTAATAATACGCTATACTATTTTTTCATATACCCTTTACTAATTACTCTGTTTAAAAGTTCTGTGTAAAAATTTTTAGTCAGAAAAGTGTTATACAGAGACAATAAACTAATGAAGACGGAAAAGGGGAGCTCTGTGCACTCAGGTGTTGGCGTTCTAAGAGCAGTCAAAATAAATGTCCTGCTTCCGACATATCAGTTAAACAGAAAAAAATAAAATAAAATCACTGGCCGGAAAAAAACAAAAAACAAATATCAGCTATCGGCAACTTGTTTTGGGCACCATTTACTCATTGCATGAAAAAAAAAACAGAGATTTTTTTAAATACCTTCTTTTCCATAGAAGAAAGTAAGTCATACAGGTTTGGAATGCATGAGGGTAAGTAAATGATGACCGAATTTCTTTTTTTTTTCGTGAACTATCCCTTTAGTGGCTCAGCATGTGGTGCAGAGCAGATGTAGTGGGCTGAAGTGAGCATGTTAAAGAGCACAGTCATGCCCACAAACACACTGAGAGCATTTCTATGAACAGGAAACTCTGATCCCTCAACCCGCCAGACAGTCTGGCTCTGAGGAAGAATCATTACTTAATACGCACTTACTGTGCAAAAGGGGCGAAAGCAAGCCAGAAGCTCTCTCTCTCTCTCTCTCAAAGTATTGCTAAGTCTTTTCTGTGTCTAAGTCTTTTCTGTGCTCAATTGTGTGCGCTGCACTCCTCCTGGCCAAAGGGCAAGCGCTCCTCCAGAGTATTAAAGGCAGCAGAAATGGAGAGCTGCTGTCTGGCGTAGCAGGATGAGACTCGAAGAGTGATTTCCTCTTAAAACGCAATCAAATGGGAGGACTGGAGAGCTGGGAAGAGTCACCCC